CATAAACCCAACCTAATCAAAAGTGAATTGTTTAAAACTGGAAAGTCTCAACAAGTTACTAGCTGTAAAAATAAATGACCAAATATAAGTACAATGTAAGAATTCATTTCTTTAGGCAAACTAATGAAATACAAAATTGGCTGTAATTTGCCAGAAGAACAAACGCACAAAATCCTTAACTTGAACACCGAAAAACCCCAAACTTGAAAGAAAATGAAATTACAAACACTATACACCGAAAAACCTGTGCGTTTGCATGTCTGCAGTAAAATGGTAAATCCGTGTAACACACGTGAACTCGTAGAATAAAAAACACAATGTCATCGATCCATTCATTTATAAACGTTGCCCGCCATAAACACTTTCGTCACTGTAAGCGATGTATAAAAACTGATCCTCTTCGTGGTGATCCTAAAAAATCAAGCTAGTTTCGGAATGAATCTAGTGTAGACCAAAAGCACAAATGTCTCGTTAAAACTTTTTTTAAAGAGTAATACGACAGAGTTGTAAAATCAAAACACCTGATAAAGCTGTCCCATTGTCGTCATGGTCGGCGGGATAACATTGTTTACAAAAAAGAACAGAGCGTCCTCTGGCCGCAGTTGAATCCTAGAAATAAAAATCAAACCTTGGTATCGCGTAAAAAAGAAAAAGGAAAAATTAACCAATTTCTTAGAAAACGACACCTTACACAATATGCAAACAGCTTATTTCGAGAAATAAGAACCAGTAATTTCAGTGCCTCTATCGAGAAAATCTTCGTGCCCGAAAACAATGTTCCATACTAGATAAAATCAAACCTTTTGCGGATAAGGAAGTAAAACTGTCCGACAGTTAAATCCGATGGAACTAAATATTTCTTTTTATCCAACTCTTTGAGACGGGCCTTAGGCGCTTTTTCAACAATAACCTAAACAAAACAAGTCAAAAACAAGACCACATAATCGATGTACTTATAAAACTTTAAATAAGTTCCAACTTCACACCAAAAAAGCATCGGTTACTTGGAGACAACATTAAAATGAACGAATTCTAGCCCCTCAAATTCTTAAAGAATAAAGTGGATAATAAAAAACACCGACATCCAAATGTCGCAACTGACAGTAACATAAATGGTGAAACAGGAAAGAAATCCTGAAACACGCTCATAACCGCAGTTCTACAGCAGAAGACACTTTTAAAATGAAAAACTACGCAGCTAACCCTACGTTAACCTTTAATGCTTACTGGAATTCTGTCTGGGTATTTATGACGGATTTTTTCGCCTTCTGCACGCCTCCTCTCAAAAGGATTGTCTTCTTTATAAACCCACTTCATACCAATCAACAAATAATTTGCAAAGAACGACGCTGAAATCTAAGCACATTACAAAAAAAAAAACGATCTCTGAAAACAATGGCAGTTGTACTCGACGACGTTCGGGTTCCAGTGAGGTTTGAATAATCCAAATATACTGCTGCAAAAACGGAAGCAGCAAGAATGGATTACTTTTCCTCGCTGAAAACTTCCGGACTGGTAAGCGCGTGATCTTGTAGACTTTCAAATATCAGAACTTATACAGAACGTCCGACATACATATACTTTGCTGATAAATCTATAAAAAGACAAAAAATGCAAGGTAGGTACTAGAGCTCGCTCTCTGCATAGCAAATTCAAGAAGATACGAACTGTACAAATATGGGGACACCCAACTACAAGTGTCTACAATAACGTTTATAACGAAAGTAGTAACAAGAAAAATGAACAAATTATGAATGGATAAACAACCGAAAAGGACGTGGAGTATCGAGAAACGACATCGGTATAACCCAAATAGATGTTTTATAGCACTCGTGCTTTCACCGAGAAACTAAAACTTGCCGAAAAAGGCCATGTATATATAAAAAAAAAAAAAAATTGGAACAAGAACTAAACATACGAACGCAGTCTCCAAAGATATAGATAAAAATAAAATTAAGAATAAGCGAAATGGAAACCGGCTATACAGTCGCAACTGGAATCATACACCAACGAAACTCCAAAGATCACAAAAACGTTCGGAAATATCGGAAAAAACTTGAGGATAGGTCAGTTACAAATGTACATACTCGCTTCCAAACTACATTGTTTTGCACAGCAAACTTAGGTTCTTTTTCTTCCAAACCAAGTCCTTCAAATCTTTCGCCACCTTTGTTTCAGACTAATATGTATTTTTTAAATGAAAAATGGAAAAAATCGTTCCTGAATAAAAAGGATGATTTTGACCTTCTTTTCTGTGCAACCACCAGCTATAAGACTTCCAATAAAGATATTTAGAACGTAAACAATTTCCTGCTTGTAATTTGGAACCAGAAAAACTGCGCAAGTTACTAAAAAGTGATTGGTGACCGAACAATCATGCTTCGCAATCGTCAACTGAATCAACTGAGACCTGCTGCAAAATTCGTTCAATTCTGTTCCACTCAGCAACAAATGACTTCACAGGTGAAAAGGAAACAAAAAATAAGCAAAACTACGTTCTATTTAGCAATTTTCACGTTCAGAAAAATCTGTACCAGCCGGAACAGTAAAAAATCTGCAGTGCACGTTCCTCGCACTAAAGAACACCTTTGTATACTTTCAGTAACGCTGCCACTACTTACACTGTCATTAGCAGGTACAGCTAACTATCAGACGGAACCACCCGTTCTGCTCAAAAAAAAAAAAAAAAAAAAAAAAAAAAAAAA